GCGCGAGTGCAGGAGGGTGGGGGACGGTGCATGGGGAGGAGAAAGGGCACTGTCACTCAGGAAAGAAAGGGGCGGGACACCAAAGACAGAATTTTTCAGAACACAGTAGAAGGGGATGAGCAGGAGTTGGCTCAGAGACCTTGGTCCTCACTAGAGTTACGTGGCCCAGGCAAGGTCCAGAAATACAGGGTGCTCAAAGTCCTGAAAAACCCCATCCCATGGCAATAACTTGATTCCCAGGAAAATTAAAAGGCACCACTTTCTGCCATTTCTCAGAGCTATGGCCAAGATGGAGGCAGAGAGAGAATTACTTTCCCAGTTGCCCTCCCAGTAGCCCAGCTACTAGCAAGGTCATTGCTCTTTTAATTTAATCCTTTGTCTGCCCTGGTGAAGACAAAGCACATTTCACTTTATGCAGAAGTCCTTCCCTAATGGAAAGGCCAAGAGAAAGCCCCTTAATGGAGGAACTGCTGCACTAGATCACTTTGCCTCCAGCTGCGAAACTGATTAATGTCCTTAGAGTCTCTGAGGAGGAGGCTGTGAGGCAGTCCTGGTGGCCATTTCCAAGGAGAGGGGGAGGAGGGAGTGTGGGAGTGGGTGGGAGGGGACTGGGTCTCAAGGAGCCTCCTTCAGGAGGTAGAGAAAGGGCAAGGAAAAGGGGCCCGGGGAAGAAATGACAGTAATTATAATTGTTCACAAACAGACCAACCCCCGCATATTTATATCCTGAGCCCCCCTGACGCCTGCCTCTGTGCTCCACCTGCACCCCATCACAGTGCAGAGGGGGTACAGGGAGGGGAACTGATGCTCGATCTAAGACTGCACTGGCCAACACAGAAGCCACTAGCTGTGGGCACCTGTGACCACTGAGCTTTCGCAATGTGGTTGGTCTGAAAGATGAGAAGAGCTGCATGTGTGAAATACACAATGAGTCAGAAGACTATGAAAACAGGATCTAAAATATTGCATGGATCGTTTTTATGTTGATTAGATGTTGAAATGATAACAGTTTGGATATAGTGAGTTAAATAAACTATGTTAAAATTAATTTCACCTGTTTCCTTTTACTTTTTTAATGTGGCTACTAGAACATTTAAAAATACATACGCAGCACCCCTTTTTGGCTTGCATTCCAGCTCTATTGGGCAGTGCTGGTCCCAACAATGTACCACATGCTCTTTAACTTTCTCTAAAAATGAGGAAGCAAATACCAGTGGTTTCTGCATTAGCCCTAATTTTACGTGACCTGTGATACACTTTCACTCCATTAAGACAGATAATGGTTGAAGGATTCGTCATGTTAAAGGAATTGGGGTTTCTGGAGGTGTCCTAGAGTTAGTTTTAATTCATCCTTCCTCCTCTAGTTGCTGCCACCAGCAAAGTGACCCCTGAAACCCACTAGGTAAGATGACCACTTCAGACTTTTAGGGGGTGGGACCCAGATATCTGTGTGTTTTTTTAGGTCCTCTAGCAGTCTCAATTTACAGCCAAGGCTAAGAAGAACAGGGTTGGTCAATAGCAAATTAACCCATCTCCTTTCTCCTTGTAGAGAGCAAAACATGTCATTTAGTATCCCCAAAGGCCCAGAATCAAACGTGGAAGTACAAAGGCCATCATATGTTGCTTCCTAAACTTATTACCATTTTCAAGTCTGAGAAAGGCTCATTGTAGGTCAGCGGTTCTCAACCTTCTTAATGCCGCCACCCCTTAATACAGTTCCTCATGTTGTGGTGACCCCCAACCATAAAATTATTTTCGTTGCTAGTCTTTAACTGTAATTTTGCTACTGTTATGAATCGTAATGTAAATATCTTTTTGTTTTCCGATAGTCTTAGGCGACCCCTGTGAAAGGGTCGTTCGGCCCCCAAAGGGGTCGCGACCCACAGGTTGAGAACTGCTGTTCTAGGTTATGTTCCCTGCTCCTGCAGGCTGGCTATTGACTTTCTCTGCAGCTGTTAGTTCCAGCGCAAGTGTTAAATACTTCACTAATACTTTCTGCTGCAGCTGGAAGTGTCCCCTCCCCAAACACCTCCTAAAGGCACTGCAGAAGCCACAGTGGCAGCCACCCGTTGCAGACTCCCCAGGTTCTGCACCCCTGCAGCTGCTCTCAGCTCTCTTTTGATGGCACATTGTCTTTTAAGGGAGCAACACCTGCTGTCTCCACCTGGATAGCTTCCCTGCATCTGACTGGAACAACCTGATCTAGGAGATGTTTTTAAAGGGTTCATGACCTTGTTCCTTCTGCATAATTTGGAAATATATTAAAAATGGAGATTTAAAAATATTTTTCTTCACACCTGAGATTCCTTCCACTTTGCCCCCATTGTGTCTTGTACAAACTTTACAGTAATTCTTATTAAATTATAACTATTTGGTGTAGGCATGAATGTCTCCAATCTAGACTAAACTTCTTGAGGTACAAAGATGTGTCTTACTCATCATTGTATCCAAAGTATCTAATAGAGAACCTGGTACATAGTGGATTCTTGGTAAATGTTGAAATGAACTAAGTGTATAAGTGAGGTTTTATACTTTGAGCTGCTGTCCTAATCTCCATCCAAAATCCCTTTCCCCTGATCCCCATCAAGCAACAGTGGCAACAGGAAACAATTCTGGCCAGTGAGAAGTAAGAAGTCCTCTGGGTAGAACTTCCAAGAGGGTCTTTGTTTTTTCCTACAAAAACGGGACAATCTGGGTTGGTCTGCCCCCTTCTCCCTGTACCCCTTTCTATTTTGTTTTTCTTCTCCTTCCTGCCTGGAACTTAGAGGTAAAGGCTGGAGGCGTGGCAGCCATCTTGTAATCATGAAGAAAAAGAGGACAGATCCAATCTTCTCTGGATGGAAAAGCAGAAAGTTAGAAAGAGCCTAGGTTTCTGAGGGCAGCATCTGTGCCAGCTCTGGACTGCCTGCCTGCCTGCCTGCCTGCCTGCCTGCCTCTGGACTTCTTGGAAAAAAACCAAACTACCTCATATCTACCACTGTGGTTAAGTTTTCTGTTATTTTCAGACAAACACGCTCATAACTGATATAACAAGTATGTTATTAGTAAGTATAAATTTAAAGGGCCTAGTATTGCTTTTAGCATGTAGTAGGGATCCATTAAGTGTTTGCATATTCATTTACTTATGCATGTAAATAGATTCTTCAATGAATAAAGGGGTTGTATGTACCCTAAGAAGAATGATTCATTTGATGTGAACCCCAAGAAGAAATTTCTCTGCTGAGTTAGACACCCCACAGCTAAATGAGGGCCCATATTTTATAAATAATGAGAATCTAGTGGCCATCTGCTGACAGAGGCTTCTCACATACTTGTTATACTGGGAAGAATCTCAGCTTTCAACATCCTGCACTGTGCTTCTGTGTTGACCCTTATAAGAGAGTTCCTAGTTTCATCTTTTAATTAATAGAGTGAGACCTGCCCCATCCAATCAGAACCATGCAGCTATCTCCTCGTTTGCATCTTTACTGACCAATCACAGCAGCTCCATAATGACCAATCAGAGCTCATGATGACAACAAATCAGGATTGTGATTTGGACCAACAGAAGTGTGCAATTTGGATTCTTTATTTGCATAAAATTGGACCAATTGGGAACGAGGGCGGGAATTTTCTCTATAAAATGCAGCCTTCCATTTGTCTTTAAGAAGCATGCTTTCAGTTTTTGCCAGAGGTTGTGACTCCCCAGTTTGCAAACTGTTACCTGAGTAAAGTCTCCCCTTTTTCTCTCCAGTGCCTTTTGGATTTGTTAACACTTCTTTTTGTTTTTTGACGGGAGATTATCTTCTAATAATAACAGGCTATTCCCTAATTTAAGATGTGTCCAATAATCTTAAACAGCTTTTTTTCAGACCCTGTAGACCATATTATATTGGTCCTGGAATTTATTCCCAAGGCTCACTTCCTCCTGTTAGGATAAGTAATCCCATTGAAGCTGCAAATCATGTAGCAAACAGCAGAAACGGCCTCCTGGTGTTACCAATTCCCTGAGTGTCATATTTCAAGTATTCTCTTCTCTATAACGTGGGCTTTGCAGGAATGTTGCCTGCTCCAAGGTTAGTCCAGTGGCATTATTCTCTCCTCTCTGGGCTGCCCAGCTGCAGTGGGTGCACAAGGCAGTGGGCAGAGGTAGGCACTGGAACATCCTTGCCTGGGACGAGACCAGAGGCTTCTTCACCTGAGGTTTGGTGGTTACAAGAGCTGCACTGGCAGCTCCATCAAGTGAACTGATTAGAAAGGGAGAAAAGAGAGATCAGCTGTCTCAGACTACACCATGAGGT